TATATATATATATATATATATATATACTGGCATGTTTCTCCGCTCAGCTGGCACTACCAATAACCACTTGCACTGTTTGCAACCGTCTTTTAACTACTGGAATTGTTGAGATAAATACGCATCGTGGGACCAGGTTCAGTAGGAGACTAAGTTAGATATAAATACTCTTCATCCATAACTGTTGAAATTGAACTGTGCTTTTGGAACTTGAAATATGTATCTAACTTGTAAGTCATTGCGAGCGAGTTCGGTCACCATCTGTATGGTGTTCACTGACGGAATCAGAGATATTCCTTTGTTTGGATATATGACCGTGGAGTAATAGAACATTCATTCATTCAGTCATTCTTCTGTGGTTTCGGATATTTCTTTTGTAATTGAGAAGGTAGTTTGGCAACCAGTTATGTAATACATGTGAGTAATAGAGGATTTTATTTAATTTCAACGGGGAAGTTCGTCGTGTATATGAAGCAAATGAAGCTTCAACTGGAAAGTTAGGAAGCACTGGACAGCTGTTTAGACCTGGTTGGGTCTCATCAGCAGTGCGAATCCATCGAAACAACTGGGGATCGAACTTCAAAGGCANTAGTCAAATTCAAAATCAATTCACTGTCACACCTATGATTATATACGACTAATCCCCGTTTGCACAGCAAGTTGAATCACGTTAGCTTATCTCTGATCGTTTCGGACATGCGTTGTTGGGTAGCGCGTGTTTTGTGCTATTTCCACTGGATTGCTTGATCGGCAAGATCGATACACCATTCGATTATTCTGTAGTTGGATTACTCCAGCGCCATCTTTATAATGGTGTGCAAAATGTACGCCTCTCTCTGTAGCTGCCATCTTTTTCGTCTCGAGTTGTCTTGAATATTTTCTCGACCATTATTTCTGTCCACTACGGCTTTCTGTACCGCATCGCACAGTCCGTTTTAATGCCTCAACGTGCTATGGACGTGAGAGCCTCTTCCTTAGCCCCCAACAGTAATCAGGGAGAGAGAGTACTTCTTGAGAACAACAGTCGTGTATATTCTATGGTCACGACATGATACGCAAATATAAGTAGCGCAAATTGGGCGTATGGGAACGACGTGGTGACGCACCAATCAGAAATTTTGAAATTTTTATTGATCGATCAGAGGACAACAATCTGATTCGTTCTAATCATGGAATTCGGAATCCGCTCGCCTTGAGCGGATCCATGTGCAGGTTGACAGTTTACGATACCTCCGTCCTAACAACTTTCACTCCGTATCTGCTTCCGTCCAGTACCTTCCTCACACATCGAGTTAGAAGCGTATAGAACCGGTTTTAAAGTATTCGTGCTCAGCCATCGCCACTTGACGCAAGGTAAAAGTTTATGCCATGCTGCCGCGACCTGATGGGAATCCTGTTTGCTGTTAGCCAATAGTCATCTCCTTTGTGGGTATCAGGTGGTGAAGTGTCACAGAAGTTAACATTTAGGTGATGACCGGAACTAAACTTATCCTACAATGGTTTATGTAGTCACCCCTTTTTGACGATATAAACGGTCAACGATTCATCTAGGATAAAGCAACACACTCTTCTTTCCAACTAGCTGTTAAGTGAATTAGTCGTCCGGGCCAGTACCATCGCATAGCCATCGGGGCCTTATGTGGTTCACCACTCCAAGTTCCAGGGCTAGGTTGCCGGTTACTCTCTCATCTCAACATGAATACTACAACAAACAGGAACAATTCTCAAGCGCACTCTAAATCGACAATCGCACTCACTAAACATTCGCGGCTTGAACCACAATATTGATTCTGTACATCAATTTCTTCAGTCCACTTCTCCTCTTGCTCTATTTTCATCCGAAACTCAACTTTCCGCTTTTACAGACACCACACATCTTCAGTTTCCCAACTATTTCCTTCATGCTTCGTTCATCCCCATAGCTGGTGTTTGTGCTTTCATCTATCATTGTACCTTCATTGTACCTTCAATTCAAAGGCGATGACGTAAGCCGCCTGCTCTACAAACGGTTGAGGT